TTATTAATAACAGTTATGAGATCATATAATTGTGAATGTATATATGAAATTGATAAAATAAAAATTTAAAAATAAAAAATAAAAAATTGAATTATAGTAGTCAGGTAACATGAAGCATGACATAATAGCAGTATTCCACTAACTAAGGGGATGCCACAAAGAAGATGGGGTCAATTTATTCTCCAAAGCACCTGAAGGCAGGACAAAAAGCAATGGATGGAAACTAATCAAGGAACAAATCAATTTAGAACTAAGGAGAAATTTCCTGCCAGTTAAAACTATTAATCAGTGGAACGACTTGCCTTCAGAAGTTATGGGTGCTCCAAAACTGGAGGTTCTTAAGAAGAGATTGGACAACGATTTGTTTGAAATGGTATAGGATTTCCTGCTTGAGCTGGGAGTTGGACTAGAAGACCTCCAAGGTCCCTTTCAACTCTGTTATTCTGTTCTGTTAAGAGTTTCACGTTATAAATCCTACTCTGGGTATCCTAATTAATGAGAGGAGGTTGGAGAAATGAATGTTGTATGATGATGAAGGATTTGAAAAATATAACTGGATATGCCCGTTCAGAAAGTCAGATGATTAAGGTATGCTAGTACAGCTGTTCTCAAACTATTAAAGGGCTATCAGAGAAGTTATGGTGAAAATTTGCTCTTCATTGCAGTGTAACGGGTTCAAAGGTAGACATCTGGACTTTCCCTTTGTTTCTCATTGCCAAGTGCAGCAAATGGCAATGATTTTGTTGAGAGACACCCCAAAGGATATAATTCTTCACATCTGGAAAACATTCACTTATTATCAGAGAAATCTGATAGGGCACCATGAGGATAAGAGCCTCTACTCTGTTTTTCTATCCACAGGACATAGACAGTCTCACAGTCTCCTTGAAATCAATTCTTTCAACTTCCTGGGCAGACAGAAAACAATTAGGGATACCTGGATGGGTGGCCAGGTGCCATATTTTGAGTCTTCCCGTCTTCAGAAAAACAAGCTGGGAGCCTGTCAGACCCAACTGTGGTGCAATTCAGAGGTGGTATTTAGCCGGTTCAGACTGGTTTGCCCGAACCAGTAGCTGAAATCGCGGGTGGCCCTGCCCACCTGCCCCAGCTATATGGCATCCCATTTAGGCACTTTTTAGAGCCAAAGCATATGCCCAGAAGCCCGAGGGCCTGTGCGGACACTCACACTGGCGAACCAGTAGGGAACGTAAGTGAATACCACCCCTGGTGTAATTGGAATCGGAGTGGTGGTTGACACAATTGTGGAGGTCTATTTCTTCCTGTTTTGCACATGCTGCATCTGACCAGAGAAAGAATGTCTAGTTTATTTGGGAGGGAACTTAATACAGACTTTACATTAATTATAGATATCAGGTTCCCTGTGGTACGCCACACAACCAAGGGGCTCCAGGAAGCCCCAGATGTGGCATGATGGATTTAAGTTCCAGGTTGGAATGCAATGCCTTGAAATGATGCTGATATGATCCTCACTTCCACCTGATGCCTACAATTAGATTGAATGATATATATCAACGGTCACCAACTGGTGGTCCACGAGAAAATTTTGGTGGTCTGCAGAAAAATTATTTGCATTTTTTATATTGCACTAAATCAGGTGTCCTCAAACTACGGCCCCTGGGCTGGATATGTGCAATGAATGCTTGTGTTGCTGCAGAGAGTCTTCCCCTTCGGGGTCTTTTTTTTTCAGGTCGGAGGAGGGCAAAAATTCCAACTTGGAATTTTGGTCCAGTAGTAGAAGTACTACTCCCAAGGAGGAGGAGTTGAAGGAACAGTAATAGGAAGGGTAGCAGCACTGAAGAAGAGTGGAGTAGTGGTGAGCAGTGAGTATTAGTCTGTGCATAGATTGCCTAGGGATCTGTGTTGTTGTGTTGGCTTGCTTGTGTTTTGAAGCCCACTGACTTTGGTATATATAAAAGTGATAAGCAGAGGTGGAATATCCACATAAAAATGGTGGGATATCCTTTTTTTAAAGCCTGGGGGTAATTGCATTGTGTGAACACAGCCTCTGATTGGTTAATGACGCCAGAATCTGAAGGAGGGGATTCCTTCCATCATTCTGTTGTGCAGCTGAAGATGCAGAAGCTATCTAGCTTAACTCCACCCTCCCATTCAGAAAAATCTTTCATTTTGGGTGTGGATGTCTGCATGTTGAAGTTTCATCCTGCAATCTATCGTTGGTTTGGTACAGAACCAAAGTAAGCAGGACAGGTACCGTATTTTTCAGAGTATAAGACGCACGAGAATATAAGATAGCAATAGCAATAGCAGTAGACTTATATACCGCTTCATAGGGCTTTCAGCCCTCTCTAAGCGGTTTACAGAGAGTCAGCATATTGCC